GATGGTCTGGCAGGGAGCTAACAAGATCATCTAATCCTTTTCCACATCCACAGAAACATTTTGGTACCAGAAAATACCTATTGTATTTGATTTCCGGCTTTCTCAGAACCACTTATATTAAATAACTTCAGGGAATCTTTTCTTTATGAATTTCAAGCTGGGGCACAGAGAGACAGAAAACCAAGCAATTGCATTATCTTTTGGAATAGATATAATTTCTTTCAAATAGGGAAGAAATCTGCTCTGGCAGAGCAAGGAATAGTCAGGCACTGGCCCCTGAACTGTCTCTTCAGTTTGCCCATTCAATGGATTAATGGCACACCGACATTCATGCCTACCACATGATTTCTTTCATTACTAAGAACTGCTCTTATCAGGAAAATACTAACATTTGCTTAGCACCACTAATACAAATAGAAAAAATTCTTTGTTCACAGCCCAGCAAGACTGGTTCCATGGCTGTTGTCTCACTCGGCCAGCTGAGTGACAGCTTCCAGGATAGGGATGTGGGTAGAAGCAGAGGAGAGATCTTCTTATGGCCTGCAGAGAAGCCTGAAGGGAAATGGGATTTGCTTCTTGAAATCCAAAACAAGGAAAAAAAGACCCAACAAGCAAACAAACCCGATTATATATAGATTCATCATTGTCCAAATAGCTAATAATTTGATAACATGCCTGCATAATTTTTGGATGAATTGAATGCTACTTGGTGTTGTTCCTAAGGGAATTTTATCAGTAAAAACATTCTTTCCTGTGTGAGAATTGAGATATCTCTAGGACAGTGATTGCTGAAGAGAAGAAAACCAGTAGAAACCAACTGACAGCCAAAAACAGCATTAATTCATGTCTCCAGAGAGATAACAAAACATATGTTTTGGTAGCATCGAGTGGTGAGCAGTGAGAGGAAACCTTAAGATCTCTCTGGATTATCTGAGATCTTTCTCCTCTATTAAAACATAACCTTTATTTTGCCCACTGAGAAATCCTTTTGGCATTTCACAACATCTCTGAGTACCTTGCCCCAAGGCTTTGTAAAACTCCTCCTTCTAGCTAGCTTTGAAATTGTACAAATTCCACACAGTGTCTTGAGTAATGGAAATAATTTGTTTGTCCATTTGCACTTACTACAGATCAGAGGAGGCTCCCCAGTCAGGACTCTGGGCAGAGTTTTCCTATGCAAATTCCAGTAAAGTGAACATCTTTTGTGCTAAATATTCCCACATGGTACACACATTATTCCCCAGTCAAAAACAGTTTGTGCTGAAGTGCCTGGTTGTTGTAAACAGGGGACAAGGAAAATTACTTCAGAGGAAGACACACATACACACATACACACACACACACACACATACACAGACAGACAGACAGACAGACAGACAGACACACACACACACACACACACACACACACACACACACGTATTTCTGCTTGAAGCTGTAGGCAAACCAGCAGTTTAAGTCTGTCTTTGGAGACTGTAGGCCAAAGAGAGCTAAATAGGACATGAAACTCAAGACATTATCCAACAGATGGGGTTTAATTTTGCTACATCTGTTGGCAGATATGTGGAATATGAGAACAGAGGATGGCTGATAACTGCCCAGGAGGGGCAAAGCCACAGGCACTGAAAGCTGAATGTCAGGGACGTGATGCCCAAGGCAGGTGTCTCTAGGCATAAAGTGAACTCTTTCCTTTCAGTCTGCCAGCTCAATAGCATTTGTTTCTGTATGTGGAAAAGGTATTTTCTCTAGAGATGCTGCAGTCATCTAGCATGGTACATTCTGCAGGTACAGGAAGCTGGGAAATGAAAAATCACTTTGGCAAATTAGCAGAGGGTTAAAAAGTGAAAGTCAGCATTTTCAGGATTGCACACAGATTTAGGAGGGCTCAGTTTTTGCATGCTCAGCCTGAAACAAATAATGTCTCTGATGCTAAAGGGCTACCCCTGCCCCCCCCACTCCTCTCAGAAGTTCCAGCTTTTCAGAGTTTTCAGACCTCATAAAATCCACACATTAGCTCTTTTGTGTGTAGTTAATGTCTACAGATTAAGTGCCACTACCATTAGTAGCTTCTGGAAAATGTTCCTTCCTGTTTCCACCTTTATCCTTTACATTTGACACCTCCATCCAGCTAGCAAGATGGGGTAGTGCAAGTGAGAACTGTGCTCTCAAACTCTCTTCTATTCTCATTCAGCTTTTTGTTGGTTTGGGTTTGTGAGGCTTTTTTCAAGTTAACAATAAGCACTTATATTTAGGACTGTATTCAAGAAGGAATTTCAAAAAGTGGCAACAACGGATTTTTCCATTTTTGAAGTGCCATATCCATGGACTTTTTAATAAGGTCTTTCTGAGCATATCCTGGTTAGTCTGTTGCTAACTTATTCCTAATTTATTCATAGTTTTTGTGCATAATCATTTTAAAAAGAAGTTATACAAAGACCTTTCACCTTGCTCAGGAAGTGAGAAAGCAGCTTTGCACCTGCATTTTTTTCACTGTACCTCTGCACAGCGCCTAGTGTCTCTTCGGTTAAATACTTCCTCAAGAGAAGCATAGGCATTTCCTATTACCTGACGCTTCTGCCATTCACAGATAAGAGGAAAAGGCCCAGCTCATGCTTAATTTGTGCTAGGAATCACTTCAGTAAACTGAGGGCTGTTTAGAAGGCACAGCCATGGACTGGTGGATATCCATCTCAGCTCCAGCCCAACCAATTCACCCCCAGACATGGCTATGACAGTACAGTAAAGGCAGAAGACCAATATAGTTGCCATCCTGTCCAGCAAAGGCTCACATTTTTCATGACTTTACCATGAATTCAACTTTTTTACTTCTCATCAAAATGACATTTAGTTTAGAGTTAAGCATAAATTCATAGTGTCAACATAACTATTTTTAATATTTTTTCCTAGTCCTTTGTTTAAACACAGCTACATCATATTGACAAATGTCTACCAGATTTCCTCCCGTCTTTGTACACAAACATGAGATCAACCTTTTACAGAATTGTAGAATTAATTAAGTTGGAAAAGACCTCTGAGATCATCAACCTATGACCCAACACCACCCTGTCAACAAGACAATGGCAGCAAGTGCCACATCCGATCTTTCCTTAAACACCTCCAGGGATGGTGAATCCACCACCACCCTGGGAAGTCCATTCCAATGTCTAATCACCCTATCTGTGAAGAAATTCCTCCTAATATCCAACCTAAACCTCCCCTGGTGTAGCTTAATTCTGTGGCTAGCTGCCTGGGAGAAGAGGCCAACCCTACCTGGCTGCAACCTCCTTTCAGGTAGTTGTAGAGAACAACAAGATCGCTCCTGATCCTCCTTTTCTCAACAAACAGTGAAATTTTTGTTATATAGTTCTTTCTTCTTCATGCTGTGAAATACATGTGAAATACATGTGAAATACAAATAGTGTTGTGTATAGGCTTTCTCAATGCCAAGGAGAGATAGGGAATGGAAGAAGATTAATTAACCAGAACTCAGTCAAAATTTAAGACTGGAATTATATCGTTTAAATATTCAGTTTATTTCAGAGGCAGAGAATAGCAACTATAATTTTAGTAAGGCTAGATAACATGGAGAGAAACATAGAAAATATCACTGGTCTTTCCCAGCATAAATGACTCTTGTTTGTAAGCTATGAAAATCTGCATGATATAATCATAGAAATAATTATAAGTTTACTGTCTAAGGGCCACTAAAATGAATCAAAGCATTTTTTAAATTTCCCTGACTCTTGAAGCTGACACTGAAACTCTTGTGTCACATTGCTTGTTCAGTTAAGTTTCCCAGTGAAGTCGGGAGGGGGGGAGGCATTTACAGCATGAAAGAATACATGACCAGCTCTTCAGGACATACCAATTTTGATGTGAACTGAGAAAAATACTCATGCTGCAAATATAACTATTAACCTTGGTGCTATGGTACTGACAGGCAGTTGTATCATTTAGGCACTAGGCAGAGAATGGAGTGGCCACAGCTCTGGGAAGCTGGAGAAGGCAATGAGAGGTAGCAGGGAGTTAGCTCACTGTGCTTAGGTACTGCTGCACCCCAGACACCCCTTCACTGTGACCTCTGTGCACGGCCTGATCCCTGCTTGCACCTCATAGGGCATGACAGGCACATCCTGGTGTTTATGGGATGCAGCTGTAATGGACCCATATCCCAGAGGCTGCTTTTGTGTGAGCTTAAAATTGGAAACTAGAAAATAAGTAATTAATGACATGAGGAAGAGGTGCTTGGGAAGCCAAAGCTCTGGTCTACTGGTAGCCAGAATCAATGGGATTGAGTCCAATAACCTAAAAACAACTGCTCTGGACAAAATTCAACTAAGGGCTTTGCAGGGTCAAGGTGGACTGTTCAGGGCTTGTATGGGGATACATGAGGGTTGTATTTCCCATCATTCAGAAAATATACATTGTTGTGCTCTGCTACAAGTAGTGATGGGTTCCAATGAAATTATGAGAAGGAATGCAAGTAAATTTGAAAGGGTTCAGAAATCAAAAGTGACACAAAGGAGCTCCAGGAATTTGCAAGTAGGAGTGAAACATGATTATGTTTGCAGTGGTTACAGTGGAAATATGTTCCTTTACACTGGGTTGGTATGAGCTGCTCTCATGTAGCCTGAGGCAATTTGGGAGACCCACTGATGAAGCCAATGCACTTACAAAAGTGTAAATCCAGCGAAAGGGAAAAATTAGGAGCTATTATTGTGACATATATCAGGAAAGTATATTTACAGAGAATATAAACAGAGATAACTGTTGAATATAGTTGTTCTTGAAAAGGTTTTACTTGTACACTGTTTGCCCAAGCAATATCCTGCTTATCATAGGCTGAGTGCTTATTTAATGAAATCAGTTCCTGTTTATCATCTGCAGTTTCTGATCTATCTGTCTTTCTATCTGTATTGTAATGGTTTGGTTTGGGATTTTTGGGCTAGTACTATGCAGTTTTTTAATCTAAGCCTGCACCTTTCTTTATGTCATTCCCAGGCCTGTTCAGAGGTCCCTCCCAGGTCCAACATGCCAAGGCCTCCTTGTTGGACTCCTTGTGCAGCAGTATTTCTTACTGAAATAATCTTTTTCTCCTAAGGTTCTGTCAAGCTAGACACTTTAAAAGCTATGTTAAACTGACAGAGTTCTCTGGGTTTTACTCTTCTTTTAGTTCCTGTGTTTGACTGTTTCATTTCTCTTGTCTGGTCTGTCAGCTTACTCTTTATTCTCCCCTGCTCTAGACCTGCTGTTTTTTCTCTTGGCATTTTTCAGGTCTCTATTTTTTTTTTTTTGTGAGCAACCTCTACACCCACGGTGACAGGACTTTTTTCCTCTCCTCTCACCAACTTCACTCTGAATAGTTGGCCTCAGTTTTCTCAATATTAAAAAAAAAAAAAAAATTCTTGAAGCATTTTCCCCTCTCCAGAGTTTCCATATAATGCTGTAGTGTGTATTTTCCAATATGGTAGCTGGCCTTAGTCCCTTCTCTCTGTCCCCTTTACAAATGAATTCATGTACTATTGATATTAACACAACTTGAGGCAGAACATCAGGACCTTTACTATCCCTGTAGAGTGCTGTATTTCTGGATATAAAGAACAAACCCAACAAGAAAATTATAATAATGATACAATATTGGAATTGAAATAGGATTGCTATTGGGATTCACGTGGGTGATCTCCAGATTCAACTCAGCTCTCACATGAAAGGATGTTATTGAATACAAAGGTTTTATTTTTCCCAACTCATCACATAGTCAATGTTTCACCAGGATGACAAGAGATGCTATACTGCAGGGCTTCTTTCACTTGAATATGAAACCAAATTTATGACTGCTTATGGTCACTAATGTGTCCTGGCATACTTCCAAGTGTTGGATCATTAACCTTTCTGTCAGAGCTAAAATCCACTTGTATAATTAAGTTATCTTTATCTCAAATTTCCACTTGCACTTTCACTTGGGGTAAAAAAAAAAAAAACCCAAAAAACAAACAAACTCCCATTCTTCCCTTCCTTTCCTTCAGAAAAGAAAACAGCTGTGTGTAGTTGCTGTCAAACAAAGATGACTTGGCTCTTCCTTTGTCTTTTATACTTTTTTTTTTTTTAATACAGTAGTGTAGTGTAGATCTAATCCTTCATTTCAGTGTTTTATTCTCTTTGATTCTGTGTCTAAATCACAGAATTCAGCTTAATACTTTTAATGTCCTTATTCTGCACCAATGACTATTCCAAAGACATGTTAGGCCAGAGTGACAGCTTTCATGTTTTTTGCACTCCTGACAAAAAGATATGGATAGAGGGAAATACTGTGGTTTGCTATGAGATGCTCTGGGGTTTACCTTTGAAGACAAGGTCAAAGCGCCTTTTAGTCTTTGGAAAGAATAACTACAGGTTTTGGGGAAGTTTTTATTGTATGAGAAATTTTATGTGATATTTTTGGTGCCATTTTTCTTCACATTTTTCCTCTTTCTACATAGCACATTCCTCAGTAATTTAGTACTTTATGTCATCTGTATAATCTTCTACTAGGATTTAATGTGATACTCATACCTGGAGAGTGCACCCCACTGTGGAAACGAAAAGCACTGAAGTGTAGGCAGGCAGCAGAAGGCACCTCACATGCAATCAGCAGTGTGTATGCTTCCAGGTTTAAATAACACTTATGATTTGAAACTTGTACCAGTGAAAGCAACATTGTGACAGTTTGGAGTATCTGCTCACACAGGTCAGAGGCAAAATGCGCTAGGAATTTCCTAATGGCCATTGCTTTCAGCTACTGCCAGTGTTAGCATCTGAAAATCCATTTTTATTCTGGCACAAGTAACATCATCTGCAACAAAAATTCTAGCAGGGCAAAATCTTTCCTACTTTACCATTTCTGCAACTTCATTGCCATCAGATGCCTCAGTTCCTATCACTTTTTTCTTTCCCTGGATATCCCTAAAGGGAAGGATATCGTGGAACTGCACAGAGACTATGGAGGCACATCTGGACTGGCAGCTGCAGCTGTGTTAACAGTTTTGTTATGAACGAGGACAGAATCCAGCTCAGGCACAGCCTGCCAGATTGGCATGACAGCAAAAATAAGATACAAGCTAAGACACACTCTTGTCACTAATTCACGTCAGCTTGTCTCAAAATGCATCCATTCCCACAATTTGATGGAGGCATAAACTTCGGTTACCTGCTCTGCTGTTGGGAATTTGGGCATTGGTTTGAATGAGGGACTGCTTTCTGTTTATTTTTTTGCCAGAGTAGAGAAAATGTTTCTAACCACTCCCAAAGTGTTGTTGCTGCTCATTCAGTGTGTTTTTCTTCTCTCATAGAAGAGGTGATGACCACATGGATTTGCATCTATTTTGGTATAACCATTTGTATTTGACTCCCTGCTAGAGCCCATCCCTTTCAGTTGTGCTGATCACTAAGAACCTGTTCTTAGCAGAGACTATGAATACAAAAGAAAGCAAAACAACCAAAATCGTTTTTTTCATGAACGATAACTGAGGTTGACAGCTTTATACCCTGCACAGGAAATAAAAATCAAACTGTGAAGGAGATACACTAACCAAACCTTTCACAGCTAAAAAGAAGGATATTGTAAGTAATACAGTGTTAATGAGAAAGTTTTGTTAGTGATAGTTTTGCCTTGCTTTTTTCCTTTTAAGCTATTATGGAAAGTATTCTGTTTTTATAACTACAGTCTATCTCAATTGTATGTAAGAGAGAATTTACTATATAAAGAAATATCAAAAATTGGATAATAAATAACATCACTTTTTTAGATATATATGGAACCTGCAGAAAAATACAGATTGCTTTCACGAATTGCTGTGCTCTTTTAGCAAGGAGTAACATGCACTTCGGTGTAAGAAATAACATACGAAATGTTAGCCACTGTATGTTATGCTTCACAAACTATCTCCATGGAAATGCAGAGTTCACTTTCTTCTTTGCTCAAAACCTGTTTTGGGTAGAGATTGATATTGATTTGAAACGTAAATCAAAATTTCCTCCTGAATGAGAGGACTTCATTAGTCATGCATGGCATCATTCTTTCCAGTATGACCTCTGTTGCAAAATGATGTCTTTCTCCCATTCTCACACTGAGAGAGTCAGCAATGAAGGAGAAAGGCTGGGCAGCTTTGAAAAAGGTAACCATGTGTCTTGAGTGCTTATTTCAATATTTTCTGATGCGAAAGCAAAACCACATCAGAACTAATTTCTTTGCCTTCTGACAGTTTGCCTCACTTCTTCCACAAAGTACTGGTTGTGGGAATTCATTGAACAGAAATTATACTGCTCATCCTGTCCTAAGTGGAGCTGTAACTTTCATTTTAATGTGTGAGTGTTGCATGGAGTGGAACATCATTTAACATATACTGTAGGATATTCTAGCCCCTGATGCCAATGGTGCACGATTGAATACTAAAATCAACAGAGAACTCAGTGTACTATAACATTTTTTTCACAGCACCTCTTCCACAGAGTGAAATTGATGTCCTTGATTAGTCCAATTTTAGCACAGAGGATGGTGCAGTTGCTTCTTTGTCTTGTCTGGAAACAATAAAAAAATGCAAAGTCTGATATTTTTAGTTAATATTTGTTGACTATAGGCACTGCTCATTTCCGCAGCCCCGCCGTGCACTTAAGGATTTCTGTAGTGCAAGGTGAATGTATTCCATAATAGGAGTAAAATCCATTTTCCCTTCTGAGGAATACGCACAAACATCTATGTAAGCAAGTACATATTTTTATTTCCATTCTAAGAAATGTACAAATCCAGCATCAGGTTCTAACACTCTAATTAATTAATTTTAATTAATATTAATATATATTTGCTGAACAAGCTTCAGTTGAATGTTTTTATTAAACAGAGCTTTTAAAAGATAAAATAATTCATATTCATTTAAATTAAAATGGCAATGAGCATTTTCTAGCATTCCTAAAATAACAGTTTTAAAACTTCTAGTTACAAGACAGAACTGTAAAAATTCCTAAAAAAAATCTGCTCAAATGATTTCATTATTTATAATAACAGAAAGTCTCAGTGGAGATTTCAAAGATCTCCATAATGAAAAAAAAATCTAAATATAATAACCTTTTTATTTTTTTTTCCTTTTTCTTTATCTAAGTCATATAAATAAAAAAAATGTAAAGTATTTTGTGAATTGGGATTATGCAATCACATTATATGGCTTATATTTCATTTGATTTAAAAACAGACACATCAAAGAAGCTAAGTTTCTATAAAGTTTTATCATTAAATTTAATGGTCCCATAAAAGTGAATGAGAAGTTACAGTTTTTTAGTCATCCCAGTAGCTAAACTAATAACAATATATACTTTTTCAACCATGCATACAATAGAATTCCCAGATGATTACAACAGTTCTTGGTGTTTTTTTTCCCAGTTTTTATTTTTTTATTTATTCTCTGAATATTTCTATTTTAACTATTCTAAATTCACCTAGCCAAATGGTAGGACTCAGAAAGACTTTTCAGGGAAGCAAACAAATCACAAAAAGGGCAAAAGAAAATGTATTCAAATATCTTTTGTTCAGAGTTGTGTTAGTTTTTAGCTGAAGCAATTCTTTTGGAGAAAAATGTAAACTGAGGGGATGTGTATTCCATTAAGCTTTACTGAATTCTTCCATTAAAAGAAAAAAGACAAAAGAAAAAGTGAATATTTTACTTGGAACTTGTAGAATGATTTTTTTCTTTAATTAAAATCCTTTAGATTTTCGTTCAAAAATATTTACATTTTTAATTTGCCTTCTTATTTCATATATTTTTTAAAAACTGGTAGAATCAAAATGGTGTTTTTCCACTGTCCTACTTAGTTTTTATTGAACCATTTTGTTTGATGCTCCATCCTTCATGGCCTCCTGTAAAAGACCTTAGAATGAATAACAATGCATAAAGAAATAAAACTTCTAGTTTCAATTAGAAAATTTAGAAGCAAACTAACAAGAAATCCCCACTTACATGCTTTCCAATAAATATCCTGTGTTTTTTAACAAGGGTGAGAAACAGAAATGATCACGTTAACATAAATTCAAGCATAGCAGAATGATCATTATGAGGTAAGAGGGGGAAAGCAGAAAATTTGAAACTAGGTCAT